GAGCAAGATGAGCAGGTGTTATGGGCGTAGGATCCCTGATATCATCACTTACTACTATGAGGGTTCTGGCGTTAATGACAGCTTCGATTCTGGTAAGGATTTTTGTTAACTCTGCATAGGACAAGAAAGCTTTCCCTAGGACCTTGCAAAGAGGTTCCTTCTCATTTCATATCAATGCTGTCAGTCCAGCACACCACCTGGTCTACTTTGAGATTCTGCAACAAACTTCAGCTGCTGTGAGTTAATAACGGCTGCAAGGAACTCTAATCTAGGACGCAAGATAGTTTTTGTAGGCACAACTCTTGATTTGGATATAATCAGGTGGGTTGAAACCAGTAACCGGTCATTTCGCCTACTGGTCGTTTCACCTACCATCTGTTCGCCTACTTCTGATATGTCAGTTTGCCTACAATTCATATGTCAAAGCTTTAAAACTGAATTGTTTAAAATTCTTGGTTGAACCTCACAGAAAGACTGAGTATTAAGACTAAATAAACTACCATTTACAGTCTTTGTGTTTACTTGTGACTCAAGTGGGCTATACTAAAGGAGGTGGGACTTTATAAATTAATGTTTTGACTGTTAGTTCGTGCACTTCCATGTAATCCGCAAACTTAGCTATACAGATGAAAAAGATATATATAGCAGTGAAGGCGTTATTTGTGTAGACTTGTAACTTGAGCAACCTATACTAAAGAAGGTTAGACTTTTCATTTGCATATCATTCTAAAGGGCAAGGTACATAAGAAATAAGCTTGTTCCCACTTTACTTCCTGCTTCAATGTTTATATTGATGTAGCGATCTGTTCTATCATGACCTTTGTAAATTACTTTTTTGTTAGTTTGTGCACTTTCACATGATCCACAAACTTAGCTGGATGAAAAAAAACATAAAAAACGTTATTTGTGTAGACTTGTGACTTAAGGTGAGACTTTCACTAATGTATCATTCAAAAGGACACTGTAGTTCATTTAATAAAAAAATCGACATGACAATCAACGCTATCATCAAAGCTATAACGTATTTACCCGTGTATAATGCGCGCCCTAATTTTTGACCTCTTTTTTCCGAAAAAAAAGATTTCATGACAAATACCAAGAATTTTTACCAAATACCAAGAATCCATTTTTTCACTTAATTAACAAGAGCTGGGAATTCATCAATAATATGTTTACAACAATTTCTAACTAGTTGCTACTACAAATATCGCACGCACCGAGCACCTATTTACAAGCTTTTTTATTCAGTAACAGTCAAACGTTTTATAAATGTTGTAACTTGTCCTTCTTAATATACCTAAATTCACAACTTGAATTATTATCATAACAGCCGTTCATAAACATTATTTCTACTCACAGTACTGCTGGTAGCTTGAATATAATTAATGCATTGCAATTGCGTGATTTAAGTAAAATGTTCAGTGTCTTTAAACAACGAAACCTTCAAATTCCGACTCACAGTCCGATTCGAATAGGTTTCGATGACTGAATCCTCAAGTTCATCAGTGATCTCAGTTGAATTGTAAACCAATTCATCTTGTGATCCATTCGAATTGTTTGTGCACCCACACTTCAGAGAGAGGCAGCGATCATTTCTGATGGAATGCCTTCCTACGCTTGTGAAATATACGAACAGATCAGTTCCTCCGAAGCCTTTTTTTGTCGTGCAGTAAGTTCGTGAATTCCATCAGCCATCCACTCCTTTCGGACTCCATCTCTAAATGGTTTGTTCAAAGATACATCGAGCGGCTGGAGAAGGGAAGTTCGCGTTTGAAGGAAGTGTTCATAGTATCTGTCACGTGAGCTTCAAATGAGTCGTAAATAAGCAAGCTCTTTCTCCTCCCCAGGCCACCGATCCGTGCACTTTTACTTTCTTTGTTGCGTTTTTAACGTATGCAAATTAGGACGTGCTTGACAAACATTAGAATCCGTGTATAATACGCACCGCGATTTTGATGCTTGTTTTTATGGAAAAAAAAGTGCGCATTATACACGGGTAAATACGGTAAGGGCCCTAATATGCCAGAGAGCACTTAACAGACAAAAAAGGAGAGATCATGTGATTAACGACAAGCCATCCTTATTGGCGGGATGAGCACGCTTTTCCAACATCTGGGAATCTCTAAATACGAGTTTGACAAATTAGGGCATATCACGTAACATGTCACAGTCCCATTGGCTACATCATCATTCCATGAGAGATTGTTGAGAAGACACCAAGAAACTTTACAAATTGTTTTCTTTCCAGATTTCTAAAGGTATATTTTCATTGCCAAGTACTTTTAGATGTATAGCCGATTTAATTGTCCATTGATGACATATTATATGGTTGGATCTTTTGGTATTTAGGGTAGTTTATTTGCTAGCAGCCATTTGCAGACATTGGTTAACTCCTCATTGACAACGGATTCTAATTATGATAATGATATATCTTTATACAAAAGATTGGTGTCATCTACAGAAAGGAAGAACTCAAACTCACTGAAGAAGTCGAGATACATTGTATCATTAATATACAATACGAATAATGGCGGACCAAGAACAGATCCTTGAGGTAGACCACAAGCTACCACTTCCTTGTTCAAGATCTTGGTTTCAATTTGCTTAGTTTAGAATCTCCATGTTAGATATGAGCAGAACCAATTGTTTGATAATACCACATATTCCATAATGGTGTAGTTCATAGAGCAAAATATTTTGGTCAACAGTGTCAAAAGATCAATTAAACTGCCACTGGATAAAAATTTTTCTTCCATGTAGTTTTGTACTATACCCGCAATATCTAGCAGTGCATGTTCCGTGGAGCAATGTTTGCGAAACCCATAATACAATAAACATAAAATGTTATGCCTGATGTTAAAACTATTAATTCTATTATACATTAATTTTTCAAAAATTCTGTTCATGTTAGAGAGGAGAGAAATAGGTCTTTAGTTTCCAGGATCAAGTTCATTACCATCTTTATTGACAGAAACTAACGAAGCATGTTTTAACTTTGAAGGGTTTTTTTGAATGGATAAATTCGCAATACTTGCTATCGGGTTTAATAGAATAGAGCTACTATATTTAAAGCTTTTGACTGAAAATGAGTACAAAGACAAGATTTTATATATTTCATCAGGTGTAACTGGATCAAAGAAAAATTAGGAGAGAGGCATTGAGCTTGGTAGATATTTGCAAAAATCTTGTGTAGACTGTAGCCTTGCAGATGCTAATTGAGGTCCCATTGATGCAAAGTGTGAGTCTAGCACATTGGATATATTAACTGAGCCTGTTAAAACATTTCTTCTCCCAGGATGCGTAATAATAGATATACACATAATGCGTTTAGAGTTATTCTTATTTTTATTTACTGTATTAAGGAGTTTATTCCCTACCAAATTTGCTTTGTATTATGAAGGTGAATTGTAGAGAAACGAGAGAAATAAAGTTTTTACTTATTCTAGTAAGAAACGGTGTTTTATTTTGATAGAATTTATAATTTTCAGTTTCACCAGAAGAAAAGAGCTGATTTTTTTAAACGTATAGTCTTAAGAATGCCCTTAGTGATCCACCGTTTGAGTACCTGGTTGTTGTTTATCTTTTTTCCTTGATCCAACCTTAAGAGATACATATTTTTTCATCACCTAATTTAACTTTGAGAAGAATGAGGAGAATAATCTAGCTACACCATGAACATCACCGGTAGAATCTCGAAAAATTTGATTCAGATCGTCAAGAGACATATCCTGTGAAAATCTTGAAAAATCGTGATATTTAGGACGCTTGACATTTTAGTAACTTTAACATCACCTGGAGGCAAAAGGCAAAATTGAGGGAAATGATCACTTATATCTGATACTATATTATCACCTGATCCTTGATCCTTGATTATCTATGAAAGTTGCTGAGCCACTAAGTACTCTGATTAGTTTATCAATCACAGAAGTAAAGGCATAGCTTTGCAAGGAAAGTAAGAAATTATTAGCAAATCTGCAGCTTTCAAACCTAAGGAGTTTTATGTCGAAGTCCCCCATTATGTATATTGGTTTGTCAATGGCACTATGCCTCTCAACAGCTGAATCAAATACTCTTGAAACTTCTCAGGAGAATTATGTTATGTAAATATATATTATGTTGTCTATATATTCAATTTTCTTTTTTGAAAACCTAATTTCAATCCACATTGCTTGGTAAGATACAGTAGAAATGTCTTTTCTAAGATTTTATAGTTAAAATGACCATTTATTTATATACATTGTAATACCCCCAGCAGAAAGAAGCTCTTACTCAGGCCTCTTACGTTATTGTGGAGGATAGACAGGCACATTTCTGATTCAAGTTTTTTGATAAATTCTGCAGATTTATGAGGAGAATAGTGTTTACCGTCAATTATTTTGTGCAAGACGTTACAATCAGGGTTTATGTTTGAATTCTGGGTGTTTGAAGTAAAAAGGTCCAGGTCATAAAATGCTTGGTAATCGTTCTAGACAATTCCCAGTAGGTAGATGGTAGGATAGGGTGTTATGAAGTTGTCTATGAGAAAGAATAATATCTTGTCCATAATAAGGAAGTTCATCAGGTATTGAATAACTGTCTTTAAAAGTCATTAATAGTCAATGAAGATGTTATCCAAAAATCAAATAAACGAATGAACACCAAGTTAAATAGGTTAAACGAACTTATCTTTCCTTACGTCTGCAAAGAATCTCTAAGTTGTTCATGTATTTCAATTTAATAACCTGCGTCTCCCTTGTTGCACTAAGGAGAATTGTTGAGCTCTTTGCCCAGCAAAATTAATATCTTGAGGTCAACTGGAACCTTTTTGCTTTGTGCAACAATTCCTGCAGACATGGAGTTAGATGTTGAAAGACAGCCAAACGATTGTGTGATCTTCTGGTTTTACACGAGAAATGTCTTTTCTTTATGCCAATACCTTCTCCCACGCCAAATAGCATGTCAATTTACAGATACCCAGTTTCAGGTGATTCACTTCGGTTCCTTTTCCATTGGTTGAGATTCTACTGATAGCTGTAAGCTTCTGACCCATCAGTTTCAATGGCTAATTCATCCACTCTACCTTCGATAGTTAGCAACTTTTCAATTATGTTCGGTTTGTCAGATGCATCCTTGTCAAACTTACGCAGCTCATCATTACTATTGCTGTAAAATTGCAGATCTTTTGAGTCTGCTTGAATGGTTTTTTCAGATGATCTTTGAGACTTTTAATGTGTTAACTCACTATCGGCCATCTTGATTCCTTCTCTCAAAGTAGAGAACTCTTTTGTAATCTCTTCAACTTGCTTCTTTTAGGCTTCGTTTTCTTGTTTAAGTTGTTTCATAGCCATCGATGTTCAACATAAAACTCCTTAGTATGTTTATCTCAGCAGATATTTGATGGACCGAGTTGCACATATTGCTCACACGTCCGCTCTTATACCACTACATAGCATAGGTGTGTCCAATCCCATGCGAACCCTGCAGCAGTGGTGACAAAATAGAACTATCTTTTGGTATTTCCAATCAAAGGAAACACAAACAGGTTCGATAGTTATGCAGGCATACTCGCAAATCTACACGTACTTGTAATAACCTGTTTATCGATGAAAATGCTTGGGTAATGAAGGAAATCATTACATAAATGACAGAAGAACAGGCACAACTGCTAGTGCTGTAAGACATACATAATTACGATCTGAATTGGGTGTTCAGTGATACAACTCATGTTGGTTTCAGGCCTTTCCTCCACTTTTTGCCACATTTGCCCGATATTGGTACTACAAGCACTTTCACATGTTGTTGGCATTGGTTGACAAGTTCCACACTTGCAGCTTTGATAATTTTATATGAAACACCAATGAAAGCTCAGGGTGAAAAATTTTTACCCATTCTTTTACCCTTTTACTGGGTTTTCATATCAAACACAAATGAATCACAGTGAATTAAATACCAGTCTTCTCTTGCGAGAGAAACTGTTTTGTGTTGTCTTGTTTGCAAATGCTTAGAGCTGAGTTGCCATTATCTTTGTAGTACATTGAACTTATGTTCAGGGTGCTCAAAAATTAGTGCTCTATTGATTGCTCTGGTCTCTAAAATGTTCTTCAGTTCTTCCCTGATAATACAATAATGAAAATTATAGTATACAGTCTTTGCTGTTATACATGCTGTTGCAAAATATTATCAGTTAAAAGATCCGAAACCATGAATTTGTTCAAAAACGGGAAAACTTGTTCATGATCTGTCCCCAAAACATATTTTTCATCTTGACTGCAATTGTTAAATTCAATCCTTCTGTCGTGATGAGATAGGATGGAATAAAAATAGGTCCGCAATGCGTACATGTGTGGCTTACGAAATTGAGCTGCTTTTTAGAGTGTGGTGTCTTATTGTGTTTCTATTAGAGAAGGTAATATCTAATTACAGTCAGATAGTTTTGAATATTGTTCCTGCTCATCAATAAACAAGATAACTAGCATACAATTGTCCTGAAATGTTTTCTTTCCAGATGAGGGTTATTAGGCAAACTTTGTTATGGAGGTCTTATTTTGACAATAAAGGTTGCACATGTAACCCGAGGATTTTAGGATCTAAAAAACATCAGCATCATCTCTCTTAGTGGCCTGATAGATTCAATCATGATTTCGTTCACCTAACGAAGTGGAATTGAGTTCTGAGGTTTGAAGGCTGATTGTCTTTTCCAAGGCAAGCGATGTGATATGAACTATAGGGAAGCATTTCATATGAATATATGAAGAGCATTTTACTTACCAGTTCACAAGGACAAAACTTTGCAAAAGGGCCGGGAGATTCAGGAAATGATGTAAGTACACTAGAAGCCATTGGGAGCTTGATTAGGTTTGAATGATGACTAATTTTGGACATTACATACATGTAAAATAACACAATGCTGAGCATAGGTTTTTATTGGCCATTAGGGCACAAAGTTCTAGTTTCTATTGCTTGAGAGAAAAACGTTTACTATGAATGTTGCATTTGGGCTGGTGGGACGGTATTTTCAACAAAAAAGAAAAAATTTAGTTGAGGTAGGCGGATATGGGGTTGCAAATGGAAGAATCTAGCTGGGAAAAAATGTTAGGTGCATAACAAGATCTGAACACAAGCAATATTTTAATGAATCATATGTTGAGTAGTACTCTGAAGTAACTTTACATTAACGTTGTTAGTAATGTTTAACCCAATAAGACTTACAATTTCACCTGGGGATTTTGAACAGAAAGTTCAATGGAGATGGAGTGTCGGCGCAACAGATTTCAGGAACATAACTTAATCAGAGACATTAAATACAACAGAGTTCAATCTACAGGCAAGTGCATGATGATATCATATGATGTAAAGTACCAGAATCTTTCAAGTTCTCTCATTATTGAAATTGTAATTTCATGCTAGTGTGTATACCAAATTCAAGCTATGTGGAGACATGAAATGAAAAGGTGAACTTGATATCATCATGCAAAATGATAATCTGGCCTACAAAAAGGTCTAAAACAAACACGGTAAGCAACTGAACTTCATTTATCACTTTGTGTTAAAGCACTTGTTAAGGTAACAAATGTCAGTTCCATTAAACGGCATTCATTAAAACTCAACAAAGTCTAAGCTAATTTAATTTAAGTGCATTTTGGTATTTCACAAGTGCTTATCACATGAGAAATCATGTTATAACTTATTTGTAGTGTACAAATGCGAGATACGTATTCACAGGAAATCAACAAACTAAAATCATATAAACTTGACAGTATTGCCATCAAAATTTGTTCTTCAGGTGAATTCTTACTCTTGAAAGCAATGATTTAGTGTTTATCAATAGATATAAAGATATCCAAGCTTTTGTTTATTTTGGTCAGCTGCTGTGTGTATCAATCTGCACAACCTCCTTCTTGTGAGTCTGATTGGTTTCTAGTGTGATCTATCGTTGCTGGGTCTAGTTTAAATTTGTACTTGAGTTATTACTTTTGCACTAGTGATACATAAAGGGGGCACTTAGCTGTTTTTAGCCAATCATAAGAGTGTAATTTTCATATATGTAAGTATTGTAATTAATTAACCATAACCCAACAAGTACCTTCAAAGGAGTTGTAGTCTACCAAATTAAAGCCACATGTATTGCTGCCAAGTATAAATATCAATGCTCATCTGAACTATTGTAAAGAGAATCTAGAAGCCAAGTTGGAAGTCATGAAATGTTAAGGTCTGAATAACTCTGAGCATTACTTAGAAAACATAATACTAATCACATTTCAGTTTAACTACTAGGCTCCTATTCGTATTTTAATAAAAGCAAACCCACTTTGTTACTGAGATTCAGTGGATTACTACCCCAAAGTTCAGAGTCAGTTGCAATAGACATTTGGCATCAAGATTTTCAAGTTAACAACAAACCGCAGTTTCAGGTTAGGCGTTAGACATTTGTGACTTCTATCGGTTTAGCTATGTATTCATGAAAGAATAATTTCATTTGAAGAGGCCATCATATTGAATTTCCAGACAAAAACAGTGTCTGATTTTCAAATGGCAACAATAAGTCCTATTTTCACTCATTGGCTAAAATTTGTATCTTAGCATGTAGCAAAAAGACTGGTTAAGTCATTTTCTTAAGTTCTGAATGATTCTCAAGAGGCTGTTATAAGTAATACCTATGGAATCAATGTCGAGGATCATTTTGGCCAAGCCAGTTTCGGAAGTTGCTTCAACATCAGGGAACACTTGCTTCAGGACATCTTCAAAGGCAGTTAGCTGAACTTGTTCGTCTCCAGACTGAACAACTATTCTTGCACAAAGTTGCCTTCGACACTTTTCCCTCTTCATGTGTGCTCCACACCTTTGGCATTGCATGAATTTTGCACCTGTCGCACGGGCTATGCGTCGACCACATTTTATACAATGGAAATAAGTTTCGATGGAGTGTACACTGTTGATGGAAACACCAGACAAAACTGTAGTTGTACTCTCATCACCATCAGGCATCCCATGTGTGAAGGGGATTTTGTTCACCTGAACTTGGTGAGAAACTTCTGTGAAAAGAGAAGCTGGGGTTAAGCTCAACTTCTTTACTCCATTCCAGGTTTTGACTTGCAGAGGAGCGATTTGGTACACTTTTCCTAGCTGGACTGCTTGAATGAATTCTGCCCACAGGTTGACAGTTATTGTTCCTGTGGTATCTCCAAAAATAGTGTTTGCCACTCACTCGGCCAAGCTTAGAGATGAGATGTTTGTGTGGGACTGAGTCAAATGCTTTCTCAAAGTCCAGGAAGACGATATCTGATGTTTTGTTTTTATCTAAGGCTGATGCCCGGGAGTGAAATAGGCGAATAAGTTGGGATGTGCAGGAAAAACCAGCTCGAAAGCCATATTGATGAGGGCTTAACAAGCCATGATCTTCTAGATGAGCCATAGTATGTCTTGTGACTAGCTTCTCTAGGGTCTTAACTACAAGCGATGTTAGAGAAATCGGACGATAGTTAGAAACATATTCTTTACCACCATTTTTGTAAACTGGGGTAATGTTGGCACACTTCCAGTCACGAGGTAGTTTTCCTCTATTCAGAGACATATTGAATAACTTTGAAAGTGGATCAGAAATTACAGGAGCTGCCTCTTGGTTGGCTTGTATTGGTCATGTCATTTATGACAAGTTTTGCTTGGTCTTCAGTGAAGGTGAACCTCTGCAACTTAATTGATGTGCGGCTAGTTTGACTCTCATTTAGCAATGGTCACTTGTTCTTTGAGAAGCAAAGCGCTTCCTTTGTGCTGTCTTCAGCCTGCAAAGCCAGGGTGCTGTAGTCCATTGTGTTCTTTTTGTTTGCGGGGATAATTGACGCACATAGGCGATCATGGAAGTGTTGTTTTTTGGCAGCGATGCAAACTGGTTCACTTTGCATGATGGACTAGAGGGCAGACTGTTGAGACTATCACTTGTTGACGTCTGACTAGCTGAGACACTCTCAGACCGGTCTTGCAAATGCTTTTTGGCAGCTTTCACCTTTGGCGGCATATCCCTAACACGTACGTGCACTGTCAGAAATTCTCCTATCTTACCTGGAAGTTTGTACTAAAGGGCGGGGGTTTTGAAGTTAATTAAATGGAAATAGCTTACCACCGAGGAAACAGGGTTCATAGTTCTGTTTGAAAATCAGGCGTTTTGATTGGTGCTTTTTGATCCAAAGTGCAACAAAGGTCAAGGACTGCTATCTAGAGGCTTACGCCGCGCGAAATTTTGCATAATCATTGTTCGCAATGTCATGCGACATGGAGATGTCCCAAGTGAAATTTAGAACAATGAATCTTCACAACTTTATGGGGTAAAAAGGGGTACTAAGGACAGACCATTTGAGTTCTGAAGGGGGAGGGTATGGGTGGGTGGGTGAGTTGTTTCACGTACGAGAATTTTTTTGCGTCAGTGACTGAGGCTCGAATTTTTTTAATGCAATGCAGTAGCTTTTATTTCTTTGCAAATTTTTTCTCGTGATCAGTCTCGACAAAATTTTTTTTTCTAAATCCACTTACGTTTGCCTTCAAAAAATCGAACAGTCTACTCCTTCAGGTAATGAGGAAGTAGAGAATGAGCAAATACAATGAAAATAGGTCTAGAATGATTTTTAGAACTGTCAGGAAATGAACAAAAGAGGGTTCTCCCTCCTTGTATGGGGGTTTCATCTAATAGCTGGTATCTCCAATTAACAAATTGACGTCAGTTTTTCATGCGTCAGTCTTCTTATTAATCATGTATTTCATAATAACATTTTCAAAGTAGCTGAGTGGATCTGCAGACTACTTTAACAATGTTATGATGAGATTCACTGTCAATAACAGGACAGATGCATGAAAATTTGCGGATTCACTTGGCTATTGCCTCGTGGACCTACAGCTACTTTGACAATGTTAAGACAAAATTCAATATCAATAACAGGACAGATGCACGAGAAACTGATGTCAACCTGTTTTTACCATAACCAATTAGCAAATTGTCCGCTCACTTGTTGATGCTTCGCATAAATTATAAATTCATGTGTCTGTCCGCTTCTTGACAATGAAAATTAGCCAATGAACGTGCAAGAGTTCCTGCAGTCATTGTAAAGAGATAAAATGAATTTTTGATGCTTTGCATAAATTATAAATTTATGTGTCTGTCAGCTTCTTGACAATGAAAATTAGCCAATGAACATGCAAAAGCTCCTGCAGTCATTGTAAAAAGATAAATTGAATTTTATTTCACAGTACAAGCAGTAACTTCAATGTCACAAAACTCAAGCTGATAAGGTATTCTTTGTGTAAATGAACCACTTATGAAAGAACATGTTAAACAGTGCATCAGAAAGTCTTAATTTATCAAGCAAATTTTTGATGTCGTAGGAAAGAGGAGTTCACATACCTCATGCAGTTGTTAATAGTTATGTTTATACTGTTTATAATACTTATGTTTATACTGTATGTAGATGTGTATATATAATGTACAATGTAGGTGTAGAAAGAAATACACTTTTCACAAATATGAATAAATATACATATATACATTTACATCTTTTTCCTAAGAGTGCATATTAAAGTGATCAAAGTATGACTTTGTAGTTGAAGTAACATGCCCTGTGCATTATGTGGTTTTGCTGTGGTTACTTGACAGAAGTGATGTGATGTAATCTTGAGAGATTGTTCAGTAAGCTGTATTGTTCATCTCAGGAGAACTGTAAGACACTGCAGTTGTACGCACATCCTCTCTAAATGATGCTTCTGAGTGAAGACTGTTTGAAAAGAAGGGCAAAAAAGGAACATGAATTTTGAAATCACAACAGTACTACAATGATAGTTCTATGACAAACAGGTCAACTAAATGGATTTAGTTAAATAAATAGTAATAACTGGTGATACGTTTCTTAGGAAGGGCAATGGTTAGGGGGTTATATTGAGAAGAAGTGAATGTAATACTAACCTGTTGATACTGGACAATGACTCACATTTGATAGGCCAGTTCTTGACTGGCTATCAAAATGAAAAACATACTTTGTTTCTTTTGTTATTATTACGAAAATTATCGCTATAATTACTATAAACTGTTAAGTTATTGTTACAGTTATATTAATAATACAATGTACAGACTTGCCTTGCGACCAAGATTCTAGTTGACTGAGTTTATAAGCATTCTTTGTATCACTAGTGTATCAATTTCTATTTTTTGTCTTTAATTCTGTCTGAATTTATATCAAAAATAATCAGTTTATAGCACTATGAAATGAGGCCCAAACTGCTTTATAATCTGTGAAGTCTCTAAAACACCCGCTTGTATCTTTAAGTGAGATATGTTTGTAAATATGTGATCAATTAATGTTCCATTGTCAGTTGTGTATGTTGTTATCAACTGTTTTTAACATCTATCTCTAACAGGTAAATTCCACAAAGGTTGCCTGTCTGCCTCAATAAGCCAATTTACATAAAAGTCTCCAATGATAATGTTGTTCTCTGTCGAAATAGTATCTAACACTTCAGAGACTGCTTGACAAAGTTGTCTTATGGGAATTTTTGGAGAGCAATAAATGTCTAAGACTGTACAGTACTCACAAATTGTGACTTTAATCGCAGTTATTTCAATACCATGTACATCGTGACAGTGGGGATATCCAGGACAATATGGGATTTTGTTGTACACAGCTCTACCACCAAAAGGTCTTGATCCAAGACTATGTGGATTATCATTTCGAAAGAGATTGTAACCAACTATGTTATATTTGTCACAAGAATCTTGGGAAATAACTCTTGTTTCTGCAAAATATTGATATCAGAACTTGAATAGTTCAAGTTTTTACGTATGTCTTGAAAGTGTCTATTCAGTGATCTTGTATTCAGGTAACAGATTTTTAGAATTTAACTTGTTATGTCATAAAGCGATGAAATACAAAGCTTAAGTTTGGCAGTTCTTAATTGCTCCATTTCTTTGTCAATGGAGCTATGGATAGCAATTTTGTCTTCACAGAGATCAGTTATATATAAGCCTTCAAAGGTGGTAACTCTACTTAGTGCGACATAGTGTACATGTGGAATGGTTCTCTTAGTGATTAAGTTGAAAACAATTATAGTTTCAGTATCTCCCTGTGATCTATCAACTGTTTTTGCTGCTGCAGGGCATAATGGAAACTGTTTTCTAACAACTTGAGCTGCTTTGTTTTTACCAACAAAAAATTGTATGGTAGCTGGTTTTACTGGGGCCCATGCATGGTCAATTCCTTGGGTATGTAGATGTTTGTTCTTGTAGGGTCCACTGTATTGAATATTGCAGGCCCTGGATTTTCCTCCACATCATTTGCCAACCTTAACAACAATGGTAGGTAAACATTATAGTACATAAATTGGGTAAACCAAAACACTACTTCATTCCACATTTTGTATTGTCCAAAAACTTGTTTCAATGTTGGTAAATAAAAGACTCTCGACTCTCATGTAAAACATCATTAGGATTATATTCCAAAAACGATCCTTGAAACGCGCAAAGCGTCTTTTTTTTAAGGAAATTGTCATGAGAGCTGATTTTTGATCGGTGTTGTTCAACAGAGATTCCCATATTACTTACTTCTGACGAAATAGTGGGCTAACAGACTCTTGTCAACTGTGTGTGGTTCGTCCAATTGGATTCAACAGTATAACAACAGCAAGGTCAACACAAGCACTGCAGGATAATCTCTTTTTTTCTTTCAAGTAATTTCAGAGGCTTTCAAATACTTTCAGACAATTTCATAAATTCTCAGATATTCTCAAGTAGGTCTGCTGAGCAGATTCGAGCCGTTAAATGTTGGCTTGCGGGAGTCTATAATGAATCCTAAGTTTCTATGTGGCACAACCTGCACCAAAGGTCCAAACTGTGAAATGTTGGCCTGTGAGAACACAACTCCTTGCCATAATCTGCCCTTAGAAGAGAAGCCGACTATAGGAAAGTCGGCGTGTGAAGTCTACGCAACGACATTAAACGAATTACTAGATAAAAAATGATCTTTGACAACGTGTTTCACCCCTAAATACACAATGGTCGCTTATTAAAGCTTTGAACCTTGGTAAAGAGTTGTTTCCATATCTCAAAGTGCCCTTGGACGTGAGGTGACTGGGAATGAAATTAAATCACTGGAACATAATTAGCGCCAAACTACCAACGATTTACAACTCCAAACGTTCCCTGTTCTTCCTATACATGAATTTTATGTCTGCTTCGTGTGTGTTTTGAGTCAAGAGTAAACATCTGGCTTAGTAAAAATCACATCCAGCATATTTCTGTTACTTAAGGTCTATTTTCGCTGGTAAAAAAAGAAATCAAAGACATTAAACCTCAAGGGCGGTTTCAGCTATGGAAACGAGTAGCTACACGACGGACTTGCTTTCTTTCCATAGCTCAAACTGCCCTTGTGCCATTCCAAAATCGGTTTCCGGTTCCGTTATTGGAAAAATATTTTGCGCTCTCTTTCAAATTTACCACAAAACAATAATCTGATGTCTTAGTATCTTTAGTGGAGTATATTTGGTCAATGGCAGGCGATGCAGATGTTGCATCTCATTTGTCAGGAAGTTTTGATGTACATTTATGCAGCAAATCCAGCTACGTTTACCAATCTTAAAATATCATGTATTACATAACAGTTATCTCTGAAAAAGTTGTGGCTACCGCCAGTTTATTCTGGATTCCAAAAGCTTTTGCGTGAGTCTATTTCTCATCGGAAACCTTTAACCATTATAAAACAGCATTTGGCAGGAGTTGATGATGGCTGTACGAGAAGGACTTGTTCCCATGCTGTCATAGACTTTTACATGACCGTTAGCACATCGTATTGTGCTTAAACAAACCCAATGGCCACCAGTGTTGATTATCTGGACAAATTGCGTGACAGCTGGGGTCACCAGATCTCCACTTAGAATATCAGGATCATTCAGGCCATCAAGGTGAGGTAACTGTGTCTTAAGTAGCTGTTTAGCAGCATGGATTTCTGAGTCCATCAGCCGACCATTGGGGTTTGCTATGTTGGATTTGCTACCCTGGTAGAAGGTGAAGTGAGTGTCGTCAACAATGGTGTCTGAAAATTTTATCCACTGCTGTGGATCTGGTGAATTGTCATCTACTACCATAAATGCTGTTGAGTTCATCTTTGGTTCTTGAATATTTTCTTACAGTTGAAGGGGTGGCTTTGTCACCGCAGTCATCAGATCGCATTTTCTTTGCTGCAGGCTGATTGTGACTGTCTTCTTCTGGAGTTTGGGTAGCTTTGGGGGGGCTCACTGGTAGTCCGGCATGGCTGTAAGGGATGTAGGCTTTTGATGGTTCTGCAAGTTCAGGAACAAAAGACACATTGTGAGTCTTCTTCATTGTGCCAGCCTTCTCACCAACCCTGCAAGAGTACTTATTTCTCTTTCCTTTTCTTTGAGGGAAGGGGTTTGCTTTTGCCTGGGCTGTGGACGATTGTGGAAATGACTGCTGTTGGTCTTCCTGGTGAGACTCTTTATTTTCAAGAGCAATGCTATCTTCTGTTGGTAAAAACTGTTGTAGTGTTACACACTCAAATCACCAGATTAATTAAACACAAGGTTGTATTTATTCGAAAACTCCGAGCACATGCTTTTTTCTTTTTTTTTACCCGACACCCTTTGTGGTTCATGAACTCAACAAAACATGTCACGCACTCTACACACTTCCCCGCCGAAAATGAAAGTGTTCTTCTAAATATTACAAAACTATTTATCAGAGTTCTCTGCAGCTACTGTAATTGTTGTTTGACGTTGTATCCTTCAGCACCTTTGCGTGATTTTTTTTTTTTTTTTTTGTTTTTTTTTTTTTTTTTTTTTTGTTTTAATGTTTGGGTCTTATAAGAGGCTCCTCTCAAGCCCTCGGGTAGTAGACGGGTTGGAAACAGCATGGCCACACCCAGAAATACAGGGGTATTCCCGGATGAATAGCTGTGATAGCTGGAGTTTGAATGGCGTTAACGCGTGAACTGCTGAATACTGGCTCAGCCGACTGGTACTGTGGATTTCCCAGGGAGTTGTAAGTTAAGATCTGCGGCGGTCTCCTTTGGCGCTGCGGCCGAGTCCACATGTCCTGCTCAGCAATGTCCTCTCCCTCTGATCCGTCATTGTCAGCACTTCCTTCATTTGCAAGTTGTATTTCGCTGGATGGCCCATTGGTGCCCTCAGTAGTCGCAGAATCCTCAATTGACTCTG